ACGGCCGTGGGGAACACGTTCTAATCCAGCGCTCTCATGCAAAGATCTACGCAGTTCACATGCTAATTTGACTGATGGTAAGTTGTATGTAAATACGATAGTGGAAAAAATCTAAATGTTTAATAAAAAAAAAAACAGTTTTAATTAAGCTTTTTGTTTCCAGGTTTTTACTGGATAGATGCAAGAGGCGGCGGTGGTAGCGGCCATCCGATAAGAGTATATTGTATGGGTCACAACACTTGTGTATATCCTGACATCATGAATACAAACGAAATCTATACGAACTACGATACAACGCAGAAGTTCTCACAAATTGATAATGGACATCGGGTTAGTGTTTTAATATATTTTTTATCTTTTTACCTTTTCGTCATTCACTGATTGTCTATATTTAATTCATTTGTATTACCTTGTTTAAGGAATAACGAAATAAGAACAAGATTTAATTTTACCAGCAAGTTTTATGTATAAAAAATACTTTAATTCTAACGCTAACTACGAGTCAAAACTTATCATTCACAGATTTCATATGATAATGAGGGAGCGGGGTCTATTCAACTTCGTTTCTTAAAATTATTGTCTCACGGTGCGCGCCAAAACTTTACATATTCATGTCTGGACGCAACGGCACCACAAAGGTATACATTTATCATTTAACATTAAAAATACAGATTGATAACAAGTGTATATTCATAAGTCTGTGATTCTACATTAATGAAAACATTGCCGTTCTTAATTCCAGGTCCGACATCCCGCCAGAATTGATTCGGACAAATGGTATCAAATTATATGGATATAACACGGCAGAATTCAAAGAACCGCAGCTAATAAAAGATGATTGTAAAGTAAGTCAAACTACCCAAATAATAAATTCTTACTTTAAAAACAGTTGATTTTTGAAACAGTATAAATACTTAACAGTTTTTAACACCTTCCTTGCTACCGTCAGTCTATTTTAATGCATAAAATCGTAGTTGCAGGAAACGTGTTAAACGCTATCTGAAACTCAATAATTCACTAATTAATCTACGTAACTCCACTTAGCGATTTTCTTAATAAAATAGTCGATCGAAATTCGACCAATGCCCGACCATTTACCCGAAAAACTTTATAATTATAACATTTTATTTAAATTATAAAGTTTTTTTACACTTTACAAAAATAACATTTTATTTAAATTATAAAGTTTTTTTACAGTTTACAAAATGTTCGCTTTACTTATTTATTTGATTATTCTTTTATAGGAAGGTAAAGGAGAGATAGTACTAGAAATCAAGACATCTCGTACTGAACGTTTACCCATCAGCGATTTCCAGCCGCTGTCATATGTCGAAGCTACGCATCAATTTTCTTTCGTTGTTGGACCGATTTGCTTTTCATAGCTGGATGGAGATTTTCATGGGATAACGCAATTATGTACTTAAGTTGGACTTTTTTGTAAATATAGTACTTAAATATATTTTGTGACGACTGAACCAGACTTTTATTGCCAAAATACATAATCTATACTATTATAATAAAGCGTAAACACACACTTTTTTGTTGCCTAAGATGTCAGCAATTACAGCATATTTTTGAACCCTTTTTTTTTGTAAAAAGCCCTACACTTACGTCATGCTTTAGGCATTTAGCCATTAGACTATATACGCCATTAGACTTAGGGGGTAAAGATTTTGGATAAAAACCCTAATGTGCGAAAGAGACCATAAGTTGCTGCCAACATCGAGGAAGCAAGATTGTCAAGATTTGTCATGTCATGTCATTTTGTCATTTGCTATTGATAATTTGACACATGTAAACAAGAAAATAAAACTTTCATAATTTCATGCGGATGAAGCCGCACGGGAACAGCTAGTATTTAATAAATATATTTTTATCAAACTATCTATCACACTTTGATTAAATTTTGTGACAGCTAAAAAGGCAACAAATCCTGGAAGTTCATTCGCTTTACTGCCATAATATTCCATCCAACAATTATTATACATGATAGAGCTGGGGAATACCGATTTGTACTTTACTTATTTCATCATCACCTGCACACTATACGTTCCCACTGAGGAGCTCGGAGCCAAGATAGTCTGACTAGGCCATAGTCAACCACGCTGGCTCAGTGAGAGTTGATTGACTTCACACATCTTGGAATGTCTTCGGCGATATGTCCATCATGACATTTTCCTTTGCCGTAAGAACGTCGAGTAATTTACGTACATATGAAATTCGAAAATCACATTGGTATATGGCGGGATTCGAACACAGAACCTGTGGATACAAGTCAACTCCTCAAATCACCGACCCACCGACGATCTTTATTTATTTACGTACACTATTAATTATTTATCTACATTAATCTGTGTTTACTTTCCTATTTTGTATTTCTGTAGCTTTAAAAAATGTTGTGCTAAAAAAAATAAAATTCAGAAAAAAACCTAGGGTTAAGAAAAACATGCTTTGTATAAAAAAAACTAAATCATCATGCAATCAGAATTTCAAAATAAAGCAAACTAAAAGAGGGTTTAGGAATAAAAGAAAAAACCAAATTAACTAAGTTGTGTTTTTATTCTTATTGTATTATTTCTGACTTTGTAATTTTTATATTTCCTTATGAATTTCTAATAGCGTCAAGCAATGTTGAATGATTTCCCTTTCTAGATTTTAAATAGACAAAGTATGAAGCATGCAATATAAAGACTTCTCTTTGTATCACTAAATCAAGAAAGTTTTTCAAAATTAGGCTGTGATTAAAACCTTCTATAACCGACGTGCAATTACCTTTGCTCATTACTTTCTATTGTCTCTTAGCGTGTAATTTTCTTTAATCATTTTAAAGATTGTGTTTCTTTATATGAAATGCTTCACATAAAATCATATTTATGTCTTTTTAATTTGCCTTAATTAAATCGCAAATGTTATTCTGCATATTCTTCCTCGTGGATTATATGATTTTCAGCTGACACGCAAACAATTTGGTACATTTGTAAGAGACATGACAAAATACTGGACATCGGTTTGTTATGCGTTTATATTTTCTCGCATATCCTGCTCTTTTCCTCATTCATTTAATAAATATTGTTTCTTGAAGGTGGCTAACAAAGATCATGTTAAGCCACGCGAAAAACCCCACTCAATTTTTCAGGTAGAATCCGTCTGGAAATCGAAACACGGAAGGATTTCTCCATAAGTTTTCTATACACTTATAAGGATTATTTTATGATGAAAATACAAATAAAAAACATCTGATCGACACCAAATGTATTAATAAAGGAACCTACCTGTTTACTCACATAGGTGTACGGTTTCAACATATTTTAAAACACATTTGCTGCAAATAATTTCTTTAAATAAGACAATCAATTCGGCTTCCAAACTTAGATAGATAAATATCCGATGCAATAGAAAAGACAACAGATATATAAATATTTATCATTTCTTTACTTGTAACACTTATATTCGTACTAATTCATACGAACCTACCTACTTAAGATTAATTACAAAATTATTATAATAATGACAATATCAACGGTTAAACCTGACTGATAACAAAATTATATTAAAAGTGATAATAAACAAACCTTTTTTAAATATTACTTTTTACTAAGTTGGATTGAATAATTTCTGGAGCATCATTTCTACCATATCAAAAGTATTATCTAATTCGTTTTGAACAGAAGAGGAAACGCGTTCCATTGGACTACTTACATTGTTATTTACCCCACTCGTTGTAGGGTCCGGTTCCTGTAGAGCGCATGGTAATATTACTTCTGTATTATCTTCTACCTGCATTGTTTCCTCACCCACTTCCACTGTTATTGGTTCTACGTCATCATCAAATGTTATGGTTTCATTCATAGCCATTGTTTCATCTCCGCTGGCTCTTTGGTCCATCCCCTCCCCGCTTGCTTCCAGTATTCTTGATTCTTCACTAGCTTCAAATGTTTTCGTTTCTGCAATTTCTTCGTCCACTTCTGCATCCCTACTATCTTCCAGTAATAATGTTTCCCAGTTTTTATCCAGCGTCAATGATTCTCTACTAGCTTCCAGTGTTATTCGTTCTCCACTTTCGCCAATTGTTTCAGTTTCGTTGTTATCTTCTAGTAATATTGATTCATCTAGTTCCAGATTTACATGATCTCCACTTTCCGGTATTTTTGATTCCTTGTCGACTTCCATTGTTCTTAGCTGACTTGTTTCTTTTATATTTGATACTTGACTAGCATCCAGTTCAGTTGTTTCTCTGCTTTCTTTCCGTAATTTTGATTTAAAAGTAGCGTTCGATGCAGTTTTCTCTGCTTGCTTTGAAGGCACTATTAGTTTTCCACTCTCTATCAATGTCATTGGTTCCTCATTAGCTTGCAGTTTTATATCTCCACTAGTTTCCATCGTTGTTACGTTATCTTTAGCCATTTCAAATGGTACAGAATCTATTTGCATGTTCTCATTTGTCATACATCCGTCATTAACATCACTACATATCGAATTCTCAATTACTTTTTTACTTATTGCGAAACTCTCAGTATCTCCCTCGGATTTTTTCTTAACTCGACCATCGTCATTATTGGTAATTAAGTCATCTATTTCTTTAATGACATTGTCACAATCTTGCAAGTCTCTATCTTTGGTCTCGCCCTCACATCCGACTGAATTTTTAATTGTGTCAATGATCAATAGTAATTTATCATCTTTAGATATATCATCCTCACATTTATTTGTCTCAACATGTTTGGCCGTATTTTCTGCATTTTCAACTACGCCTAAATAAGTTTCTCCTATCGATAGCGAATCATCTTGAATATTGATACATTTAGAACTTTCGTCATCAAAACATGCCAAATGTATGTTTTCAGAATCATCGTCATTAATAGAAATAGTTCTAGCTCTCTCAGCTTCCACATTTCGGTTACTTTGATCTTCATTTGACAAATCACACTTAACAGCATCAACAGATTCCACTGTATCATTATTTTTCACTGAACTATTTTTGTCTTTTTCGGACGATTCAGTATCAGAACAACTTGAATTTCCTATACTTATAATATCATAAGTCTCATAGTGTTCCGATTCACTGTCTGAATCTAAGCTATCCGATATAGCTATTGGTGAATCAAGGTCTGAAGAATCAGGCGAAGATGTTTCGTTTCCGGAATGAAGCTTCTCAAGAAGATTTAGTTCGTCCCCATAAAAGTCATCACATATTAAATGTATATTCTCCTCTTCATTAAGATAAGACTCTAAATTTGTAACTGCAGGTTTAGGTGGAACGACAATTTCTTCTACACTTTCGTCACTCTGAATTTCTTCAAAGTTTTCTGACAACATTTGTTGTTTGTTAAAATTATCTTTTGTTTTAACACAAGTATCTTTATTAATTTCACTAGCACATTCAACATTAGTGGTATTATTGACTTTTTCTGCAGACCTTTGTCTCTCGAGTTGGGTTTCTATTTCCACTTTTTCCTCAATTTCTTTACTTTTCATCCTGTTAATAATATCTTGGTCTTTAACATTTGTAGTCTCTTTATCATTTTCTTTGCTTTTAATTGGTAAAGATTCAGTTTCAAGTCTATTATTATTTTCTAAATCTTTCTGCTGCTCTTTGTTTTTTATTTTATTTTTCATAGATTCCTTTTCATTTATAAGTCTTTGAAGACGGTCTTTCCTTTTTTGACTATCCTCTAACAAATCACTATCATCATCGACCTCATCATCGCTTTCCACGGGTGAATTATCTGCCTCTTTTTCGTCTATTTCTGTAGGTTCTAAGTGTAATTGATTCTGTTTCTGTGCATACCTGTTAAAATAAGCTACATGATTACTCTGTAAATCCCGGTTATTTTGAAATAAGCAGAATTCAATGTCGATTTAGTATCACAGTTAAAACTTACAATGGTCTTAATAGCATAATGAATCAAATAAAATACATTAACATACTTATTAAGAAGATCAGATTCTTTTCTAAAGGCTTTTTCTCTATTTTCTTCCAGTTTCTTTTTTAGGTTTTCATCCTTTTCAGCTGGATCATCTTGTGAGATCCGGGAAGCTGCTAACCTCCATTCATTTTCTTGCCTCCTCCGTTGCAACTTCTTACCACACCTTGTAAAAAGATCGCGTGCTAAAATGGAAAGAAAATTATTCCGATGATAATATTTTCTTGCACATCTACATCACTAAATTATAATGTAGTCATTTATACCTTCATCAATAATATCAGCCTCATTCCACCCAAGTTTATCTTCAGTGTTAGCCTCTCTCACACATTTAATAACATCATGGAAATCAGGAAAAGGCAGCGTACTTCCTATTGGTACTTTTTTGTTAATCCACTTCTCTAACTTTTTAGCTGGCCCTGGCGGCTGGCCAGCTCGACATTCAATCACAATACGAGGTTCTGTTAGCATTTTCGTATCGGTTAATTGGCAAAACTTCGCATAAGTGCGCACAAATCTCTCTTTATACCTGTAAAACACATCAGAAATTACTAAAGCATTTTTTATCATTACGCAAGCTTTCATCTTTAAGCAAAAGACACGGTTAAATACCAACACGCGCAAATATGTACCCTATTTAACCATGAGATGCATATAAGTTTGAATATTAAATTATTAAGAAGTCTCGAAAAAATACCTGTCATTTAATAAATATACAGAATCTTCTTCGTCGTCGAAGTCGACTTCCTGTTCATCCAATTTGTTAATTGCCCTTTCGAGTTTCTTCAAAGTTTTTTCCAATTTACGAATTTGCCTCCGACGTTTACGGTCATATTTACTATCTTCTACTACATCTGAAATATTATAAGTTATCAATATAGCGTTCAAAAAAGAAATTTACTTCTTGCTAGCCGCCTAAATTATTGATTACTATCCGTAGGCCGGAGCGTAGGGAAGAGCAGAGCAGATTTTAATAAAATTGAGCCTTATGAGAATACATCAAAGTTTAATTTTACTTTTCAAGTATTTTTCACTTGCTCTTGTTAATGAACTCTGCAGAGCGTCTAAATGCACCCTAAGTAAAATTCAATGAAAATTTTTCATAACTGACTAAAACTATCAAATTCAACAATTACATTATTCCCAATCCAGAAGAGGAGGGGGACATCTATCTGCATTGTCTTTTCTCTGTTAGGACACCAAGACCTAATCAGCTTGAATAGCCTTGCTGATATTGTTAGGTTACTTTCGAATATACTAAAATGGTTTAAAATATTTTCAATATGTAAATTACATAACACTTGAATAAACAAGAAAACCGTATTGTGAATCTGGCATATAACGTAAGTACTCATGTTATTTGTTAATATACTGTATGGATGTGAGTGCTTTTTTCTTAATTTAAATATGTAAAATATTACTTTTTTTTCATAAGTTATCTGTTAGACATATCAGTTATTAACCATATCGGCTGAGTTAAAACAACAAATTTAATCTTGATATAGAAATATACATAACTTCTGCATTATCTGCATAAATTAACATGTTCCTTCCATTGAAATAAATTATCGAAAAATGTTACTGTAATGTTTTAGGAAATAAAACATAGCACTTTATATATTAACTTTATTCATAAATTACTTTACTATACAAATGTTCACAAAATTACACAATAAGAGGAATGTGAGTTGCCAAACAGCTGTACAGTCAGCTGCACAAACATGTATATATTTATAAAACCTCCGTAACTTATATGGGGATTCAAAAATAAATAAAATAAGTGAACACATCTTACACATATTACATTATTGGTAGGACTTATTATTGAAAATTAAGATTTATACAAATTCATAAGATTTGCAAATGTATTCACTTTTGCAGCTGACTGTACAGAAACATTTTGTTGGCGTTTTTTCCAAAGATTATGAAACAGATGGTAATGTTTTGATCAAGGCTCATGAGCGAAAATTCACAGTTTTTATAACCAAAAACTCCACCATTATGTATTTCAAAAAGTAACCAAGTCTAAATATGTTAATTTTACAACCTAATTATGTTAATGATCGATAAATAGTTTACAAGTTACTTTAACAACAAACTTTACAAATAATGAAAGCACTCAAATCCATTAAGTATATTACAAAATAAAAGGTTATTACAACATTAATGGCATTTCTCTCTTTCTAGCACAAATTTACTGTGAAATAATACACTAAAATGCAGACTAGAGAAAAACATGTAATTTATGATTTCAATATTGGTCTGACATAGGTAAAATAATTTAATTTCTTCTCATATTTGAGAATCTAGAATATATTACATCAACACATATGCATTATTATTTATATTAATTATTTACCTTCAACTGGGTTATTTTGAGTTACTAAAGGAGTTGCTTTTTTTCTTATCCTGTGCAATTTTAATTCATCAACAATATCTTTAATGTGCAGGAAAATTTTTGATGATTCAGTCTTTATTAATGTAATTTTTGTTGACACCATATCGAGAAATTGTTCAGATTCAACAAATTCTTTAGGTACTTGTCTACTGTATGTTTTAATTCTCTTTTCAACAATAGTTTTCATATCTTCAGATTTATCTACATCGAGGCATAAATCCATAAATTGTTGAAATATTGGATTGAATTCACCATTAATTCTATCGCTTACATCTATATTATTATCTGTAGAACTATTTTCTTCTACTTTATTACAATTATCAACTAAATTATCTTTTTTAGGAGAGACTACCTTTTGATTAGTGTTTTCTTCTTGTATTGAATCAATTGTAGATAGTACAGGTTTGTTGACACATGTCTCACCATCTTTTTCATTTGTTTCTTTTGTTGAAGTTGTCAATACAATTTCTTCTCTATTTTCAACTTCTTTAGGTGCATTTTCAATTGCGATACCACTGTCTACTTCCATTGAAACTTCAGTATTTTTTTCTCCTTCTGGATATTCCAATTTTTTCTTACTATGTGGGCTCTTTGACTTATCTTGTTCAGTGTCACTACCTAAATCAGCATCTTTTGCTGGTTTATTTAGAACTTTAACAGGGCTATCATCAATGGTTATAGATAGTGTATCATTTTTAGCTCGTTCTATCAAACAAGGCTTCACAGGACTATCTTCTATTGTAATTTCTATCATTTCTCTCCCTTTAGGTTCACTATTGTTCTGTTCTTCAAGCTTATTTTTATCCAGTTGTTCTTCAGGCCGCATATACCACTGGACGGAATTACTTTTATCCACAGATGTATTTTCATCATCATCCAGTTCTACCGTAAGGATGTCACCTAAGTGAGCAGCGGAGTGTATTCTATTTTTTGGTTGTCCAAATTTATTGTTAGCCAGTTCTTTATTAACTCTTATTTTGTTTTTGAATGTTCCCACGTTGGGTGTACTTCCTCCACAAGTCTTTGTAACTGTAATACCTGAGGGTAAGCTACTAATTAACTTTGGTGATATTCCTTGCACTGAATTCCAATTGCCCACTTTAAGTGGCTTGCGATTCATAATTTTTATTGGATAACTATTCAGTCTGTTTTGAATTTGCAATGTTTTGTCAGTCTGTGGGTTTCTACTTGAAGGCAGGGGTGTTACTTTTTGTATACATCTTACATTTTGCTTGCTTTGTCTATCATTGCAATTAGTACGTAACATTGTAACAACTGGTATTTGATTGGGCGATCTTGTAACTAATTTTCTAGATAGCTTATTTTTACATGACACCGGGTTTATTGTGACGTCCCGGATTTTATTCGGAATATGAACCATAGCATTTGGAACAGGTTTAATCTGCAATAATAGTTTAAAAATATAACAAAATGTAATAACAAACAAGAACTGTTTGGTACGTGTGTTGAACAACCTACTTTCTTGGGTGCCGGTGGCTCAGCCTCATCGTCTGAAGAAACCAACTCAATTACACCTTCAAATTCCATCTTTTAGTTCTAGATGCGTCCCTTTAAACTACTTACTTCCTAACAAAAACAACTCTTCACTTTTCATTTTGTAATATTTAAACAGTACCTATTCTGAAATGTTTAACTTAAAATTAACACAAATATCTAATCCCAACAATACTCATTCATTGCAACCCGCCAAAGGTTAACAATAACATATCGAATATAGTGCAAATATACTATAAATTCAATTAAATTGAGTTATAATATATAAAAAATTAAAAAATAACTCAATCCAACTTCAACGTCAATCAAGCCCAAGCACAGATTATTAAGTCAAACATAGTGATGGTGAGCCAAAGATTATATAAAATTATAAATTCTTTGTAAAATTCCTAGACTTTGATACTTTGATCTTCTTAAATGGATTGATCATAATGCGTTGCGTTGATTATAAACAACAAACAATCATTAAGATATCTAATATTATTTAGATAAGCACTAAGCAAGAGAATTTCTATTATGTTAAAGCTTTTCCTCCCCTTACTGTCTAAAGAGAGAACATTGCTAAAAGTTTGCTACAAAAGTTTTTTAAGTATGGAGTTTTTTCCCCGACAAACGAAGACGAGAGCATTTCCTAATAATATTGTAAGGTACTTCCTTTACAATTTACGTTTTTATAAGCTAAAGGGAAGAATTTCCCTAAAATGTGGAAATATTACCTCGTTAGTAGCTCTAAATGCTCGTAAGCGCCCTCCTGTCAATATAAAAAAAATGTCGCAATATCCTTGTGGCACTATAAAAAAAAACTATCCACTCATCTCTATAAATGGGTATATTTGTTCATTGCTTGGAAATTACAGCCTTTGCTTCGTTCTGACTTAAATGTATTGTAATGTACTGACAGTAATATTTTTACATCTCGTATTACTTATCTTTTCTCATCACAAACTGCTACAGTCATCGCCAAAACGGCAGAAATCAAACATGTAAAAAACAGGTACAAAAGTATATACTATTGTACCACGCTTAATAGCCTATCCCTTAATAGAAGTCAGTAAAAATATCGAGCAATACTTATGGCAACAAAATTAAAATGAGGGCGCCACTATCATTCTATTCCTATTTCGTATGGCCAATTTACAACTTTACAAAATTACAGAAAACAAAACACATTTTTATCTCATCTACTTGATCGATGTTTTTCTTATAAGTAATATTTAAGATATTAGATATCAATGAATAATTTTTCAAAAAATTACTTGGTAAACGATTTTTAAAAGCTTTTTGTTTTTTAATAGCAACAAAATACATCTTTCAGTCAGTTGAAAGGTGGAAGAATTGGAATCCATCAAGGTGTCAAAATAAATCGTGTCTAGCAATAAATAAATTTGATAAAGTGTATATTGTAGGCGTAAGAAAATGATTAAACTATTTTCCTTAAAACAACAAAAAAAAGATGAGGAAGGGTCAGCAAGAGCTGGAGGTTCACAAAAAAAAGCCTCTGCAGCGCAATTGCGAATCACGAAAGGTACGAAAAACTAAACAATACAGAGAAATGTCTTTTCGTATAAAGTTAAGTAATATATTTAAATATCGATTTTAAAAACCCTTGCGTTATACTTAATACGTCCGAATTAAATGTTGTTTTATTTTTAGATTTGAATGAATTAAATTTGCCTAAGACGTGCAGTACAGAATTTCCAGACCCAGATGATTTGCTAAATTTCAAGCTTATAATATGTCCAGATGAAGGATTCTATAGAGGAGGGAGATTTGTATTTAGTTTTAAGGTAAGATTGTTCAACTGGCTATTCTGTGAATTTAGCAACATTGTGGGTAAAGATAGGCAATGGTGTATTTACCCCAGTAAATCCAGTCATAGGGTAGCTACATATTAAAGACGCGCATTTGGTATAATTTTCCCTAACTTGGGTGGAGACATACATGAGCTAATAATAAATATGACAAAAAACTATTACATGTTACTTTATACACATTATCTAAGTTGGATAATTAAAAAATAACACAGTCATGGTGCTGGTGTAAGCTGTAAAACCAATGATTCTAGCCATTTAAACTATTATTATTGCAAATAATGACAAGTGAGCAATTCATTATTCAGAATTGCTTTAAATATGGTTACACTTGTATTTATATATCCTTTCCATCTTATTTTCGCCATAATAAAGTGTTTTTTTTTTCTTACCTCATTAATTAGGTAATTGTAACAAAATACTTCTCATATAACTATAAGCTATCAGTATTAATATACTGTCACTTTACTTTATCATTAATGTATCAAAGTTAGAAAACTTTCAAATATCAACAAATAACAAAATAGCTTCCATGAAATTGTAGGTTTTCTGTTTATGAAATTGAAGTATTGGATCAATGTAAAAAATATGGTTTTTACAACATTTTTTAGAAGAAAAAGGTATATTCAGGTCTTTATACTTGTATCTTAAATGCAAAAGATTGGATGTTTGTTACTCATGTTTCAACAAAACAATTTTACAAATCTTGACGCTTGACATAGATGTAAGACAAAATTTGGAAAAACACACAGGCTTCTTACAAAGATCTTGTTTTAATTCAATATGGACAAAGTCATAGCAAAAGCTAGTAAAAAAAGTTAATGCAAGAAAGAGTAATAATATCTACCATAGCAATGAAAATAGGTACATCTTATATAGTAGGGGTTGCCAACTGGTTGATTGCAGTCAATTGATTGATAGCTACTACTAACTAACTACATTATCAACACAATATAAATCATAATTCATACTAATATTATAAATGTGAAAGTTTGGATGGATGGATGTTTGTTAGAGTTTGAAGCCTAAACACTGTACCGATTTCGATGAAATTTGGTATAAATGTAGAGGATACTTGCATTTGTTTTTTTTTAATTCCGCGCCAACGGAGTCGCGGGCGTAAGCTAGTACTACATAATTGTATATTGAACCAGAATAATAACTTTAAGCTACTGTTTTGCTCATTGTATGTAAGTAAAAACTTAATATCTATGTTAATATGTAACTTACTAAACTGGTTTGTATTTTACATTTGAAGAGGTATGCCAGTCAACGGTAGACTGGGTTTAACTAAGAACATCCCTGTTCAGACATGCAATTAGAGAAGTAACTTTATTATCAGATTGAATGAATATATGAGTGTACTACACTGACAGTAGGCCAAGAAAGAGATGGATGAATTGTATAAAAGGTGACATGATTAAAAAGGGAGTAAATGACTGAAATGACGAAAGATAGATTAACCTAGAAAACCTATGGGAGTAGGATATGTAATGGATTAAAATAATGAATGTGATATAAGCTATACAAATATCTTTAATTGTACCCTTAATTTGACTGACTTTTTTGTAGCATAAAATATATGTTACAAACACATTAAAATAAAAATTTCACGTATTTTACTTTAAACTAGTTCAGTAGATTTTGTAATTTAGTTGTAAGTCACACTGGACACCATTCAATTTATTTAATTTTAATTATGAAATGTGCTATATTTTCTACAGGTAGGCCCTAACTACCCTCATGAACCGCCCAAGGTTAAATGTGAAACGGCTGTCTACCATCCTAATATAGATTTAGAAGGCAATGTATGCCTCAATATACTACGAGAAGACTGGAAACCTGTCCTTACTGTTAACTCAATAGTTTATGGACTTCAATATTTATTCCTAGTAAGTATTTATTAATTATTCGTTATATAGTATCAAAACATGTGGTATTTTTAATAATAAAATGTATCCTAAATGGCTCTTATTTGTAATGTTTATCCACTTTTAACATTGGTGAGAAAGATACAAATAATTTTCATTTCGAACCCTATATTATGGTTCAAAAAACATTTTTTACATTGAGATAGTTGCATAATAACATATAGATTGATAAATCTGGTAACAAACATCAATTTACAATTTATTTAAATTTCCAGGAACCAAATCCTGAAGATCCCCTAAATAAAGAGGCGGCAGACGAACTGCAGAGCAACAGAAGACTGTTTGAACAACACGTGCAGCGAGCTATGCGCGGCGGCTACGTCGGTACATCATACTTCGAAAGATGTCTTAAATGAAAACTGTCGCTGTAAATCAATGCTCCAAACTATATAAATAAATAAATTATAATCTCATTTCATAATTGTAATTTATTGTGAATTCGATTTTTTTTTAATAAATTCTAACATGAAGTTCAATAATTGAAATCTAGATGGCGACACTTCATGCCTTAAGTTTAAGAAATAAAGCAAATATTTTTCTTTTATAAAGGATTACAATAGCTATTAAACTGAAATGCATGTGAAATAATTATGTTTTATTTATTTGTTATTGAATTAAGAAAGACTCAACATTTACCACAGTGCAGTGGTTTACTATAATTCTAACAGAAAGAAGGCCAAAGTTGTAGGTAAGTTGTAACATTTTTATAAAAGCAATCGAAATGATTAATGTATTCTTGTATTCCTAAACTACGGAGAGCAACCTTGTGTTAGGATTAACGGTACTGCGGTCAATACACCTCGATAGTATTGCAAATAATTGACAAAATTGTACTTTTGTAGTTTCTGCTTAATAATGGCATATATAAAACGTGATTTAAAATACACTTATATTATTTTTCATGTTTTTAAACATACAAAAAAAAGACAGAGACGCTTGTGTGAAGTGAGCCGCGTGTCAGGGTGGCGGGGAGTGGAGGCAGCGACCAACGGCAGCAGGCGGCGACCGCGTGACGTGAGTCAGTCTGCAGACAGGGCAAACGAACGCGACACTGCGCCAGTGTTCCTCCAGACGGCGAGTTGTTCGCATGTTTCCACGTTAACACGCTTTCTCCATTAGTGCATTCGAGGCAGAACAGTGTCGACACAACCGAATGGTTGCGAAAGTTTGCGCGATGATATATAAGTGAGAGCCAGCATCGGACGTCAGGGTAACGCTCATCGCACACGGTGAGCCAGTTTATTCAACTAAAGACATTCGAAACTCGCCAGCTGTGAGGGACGGGGGGCGCCAGACGCCGTCGGGTCGTACACGCGGGACCAGCCATTCCTAACACATACTTACTTTGAGAGAGAAACGGAAAGCAATTTTTAATGTGTCAAGTCAGTATAGCATATTGCTGCTACGTCAGATCGCAGAACGCCTCGAGCAAGAACTACAAGGTTATGCAAATGAGTTCTGAACGCTTCTATACCAGGGGTAATCTAAAGACCATTCACAACTTTAATAAACTTTAACAATTGCGTTCATAGTACGGTGTTTAGTGCTTATCTGTATCGTTTTCCTGTCTTTCTATTATCGTTCGGTGTCGCGATCGCTAATTGCTAATTACTTGGAGCCGAGTGATAAGAAGTTTGAGTGAGTGATTGCGGAGCACGGAGCACCAGTGCAGCGAGTGCAGCTCTCGAGCCACAGCCACAGCAGACGCGGACGATGGCGGCCACGCAGGAGGAGACCTTGCTATCGCGCTGCGAAGTCCCCATCATCGACCTCGCACATATTGGTAAATATTACAATAAACTATTTCATTATTTCTGTTTCCAAAGCTACACGAAATATAGAGTTCTTTAAACCTAACGGTCGATCCTAATTCTACGGTTCAAAAGCTTTATAAGTAAGCACAAAGGAGCGGAAAGTCGTTTACCTGCGCGCATCCCCAATTATAGGTGGTTGAGCGAACCCGACAGGCAACCGACAGCTGTACAGCGGACATTATTTAATGCACAATTTCGTATCTCATTTTGATTCCAACAGAGTTCAGAAACCGACAAATCACTTCATATATCAAAGACCAAGACACATGAATCTTACGTAAATAAAGCAACAATTTTAAATGTACTTTATTATTTACCTTAAGTCTAGACACGTACAAGTAGGTAGTAATCAAGTCTGAAAGATGCAATGATGACGAATCTTACCGTCAGTATTTTCTTAGATGAGTAAAACCCTACATAGCATTGTTTATGATTAGACGTATGTAGTAAGACGAAGTTTAGTCACAAAAAAAAACAAGTTATTTAACATCTACCTAGTAGTTTTTATATTACAATTTCTTGAATAAGGATTGCCGTTTTACATGAGCCACGATAAAGCAAAGGCCAAACACCTGTTCTCTCGGTTCTTACCCATGGAAACAGATAATTTAAATAATATATCAGGCTGATTACAAAAACGCGCACTAAACTAGTACTCGTATATAGACCTACTATAGGTCCTTGTATTTTCTTTCTATTTTTCCTTAATCCTACGAGTATTTAGGGGAACAATACATATAAAGTATTTTCAATACATTTTATCTACTGATTAAAAAATCACGTGAACATATCTTTCGATAAAATAAAAAACAAAAATCCACAAACCATCGATCAAAGAGATTATATATTGATAAATATTGATACAAGCACCTTTGTTAAGTTATTTTAAAAACAAACGCATTGAATTACAATGTTAACGTTTTTTTACTGCCATTATGAAATCTTCACTAATATACTCACTAAGTTACCATTAAGCCACTCTGATGGCCAGTTTCCGAAATACGTTCAACCATTCATTAGTGGTTCGATGAATACTTGAAATGCGATTCCGAACTACGTAACTTGAATTTTATTCCTTTGAAATTTAGTTTAACCAAGTAGTAAAAGAAGAATCACTAGATAATGATAAAATAAATGGAAACTTCAGCAACTCAGCATAAGTGAATCAGTTTATACCAGTAATTAACACGTGGAGGAGAAATAAATGGATTTTAATAGTGAGGGCAATGGCCGACCGATCCTTCGTAACTCCCGGTTTCAGAACGCATTACACTTTCGAGTTAATCTCATTTTTATTAAAATCTTGATTCTATAAAATACGCAAGGTGTCATTTACCTCTTTATATAGTAACTTTTAACAACTTACAAAACACGCTCGTAAACGTATGTTTGTCCCATCAATCAATGTGAATTTTAACATGAAAATTGTAAATCAATCCAAGCTTAAAACCACAAACCTCACGGTCGCTAGTTGCGAATCATTTGGATTTCCCAATATCTGTCTTTGTTATATTCTTAGTAGATAACAAAGGTTTGTTTTTGTACGTATTAGTATATTTACTACTAAAGATTTTTACATTAAAGCTTTATTTCCATGACATTAATATTATTCTAGCAAATCTGTTATCGGAACGATAATGGTAAGATTACATATTTCTCCAATACAATAAAATCTTGCTTCTTCTAGTATTATAAATGCGAAAGTTTAGATGGATAGATGTTAGAGTTTCTAGCCCAAACCGCTGAACGTATCTTAATAAAATTCAGTATAGATGTAGAATTTAGTCTGGAAAAACACGTAGGCTACTTTTGTTTTTTTTTTTTAATTCCACGCGGACGGAGTCGCGGGCGGAAGCTAATATTCTATATGTACTTCTTAAAAATCGAATGTTCACATCACACTAATGTTCGGAAAATCTTCCGAAACGTAAGTTCTGTTGTGGATATACTCAATAGATATTGCAAATGCAACAGTTCATTGGAACGACATAAAGCGTATGCATAAAATATGGGTCAATATACCGATGACAGGTCCATGACTGTTAATTAACGCTGCGCAGAACACACTGTAAAAGATAAACTATAACTGACTGTCTGTTAAAAGGGAACTAACATACAGTAATTTCATTTACCGATATTTTTACGTCACCTAATTTTTAGAGAAAATAATGCCGAATTCCAATAAATTGAAAACGCCCCCTTCATATTCATATCTAAAAACGTTCGTAAATAAAGTTAGAAACCAATAAAATGATTATGAATTCTCAAAAGGTTACTGTATTTATACTTGCCAGAATTTTCGTTTAAAATGAACGATAATTAATTTAAAATATGAATAATATTTTACCGGAAACCGATGTCTGACTGGTTTTGTTACGCCACATACGAACGTGTACAACTGGTAAACGACTGTAATTACTTGAATATATTACGTGACGTCATTGTGCAAATCATCGTCATTTTGTAATTTACGTTGATTTCTCAATAGTGATTACCAATGACATTGTAGGCGGGAAAATAATTAAGTTTATTATGCAACTACCAAAGTAAACTGCAACATAAATCAGTAGCTTAGTCTTAAAACTTGATGGTCCGTATTTTAGACAAAGAAGATAATCGTAACCACATAAATCTACTTCGATAGTCAGTTTAGCGATGCCTAGAATTGGCGCGCTTATCCTTAATCCTTCTAAATGACATTGACAGTCATAGGGACGTGCATAACATTGATTTAATGTTGCGCCGCTATGCCAGCACGGTACCGATTTCTTCTTAATAGTACTTAATTCTTATCGACTAATTAAAAACATCACCAAATTAGATCTTAGTATCCCTGTAGAAATGAGATAAGAAGAATATGTGCGAATCAGATATCAAGTAAATTCAAAAACAGTGACTAATTTCTATGTTTATTCCAAACACGTTAAAGACAGGTTATAAATACGACTGCTGTAACATAATCGCTGTGAACACAATTTAGCTGTAAACGTGTCGCACTAAAACGTTCTAATTAACCGTGACAGATATATTTATAGGAACGTAGTCGTCACTACGAAAAAATGTTACGTCTCCGTTCCGTCACGATACAGAAACCGTAATGTTCCGTTGCTTCCGCGAAAATTACAAGTTTGTTTTTCATTTTATCTCTTTATGTCGTACTCAAATGTCCACGAAATCGGTTAGTCGGCCATCCGCGTTTAGGCTTACATGTTTTGCCGAAATGAGGAAGAACTTTTGCCAGTCGTGTTGAATCATTACGTATCATCATTTACACTTTTTGACACACTTTCTGTGCTGACAATTTTACATAAACACGAAGTTGAGAGACCGCAGACGATGTTGTCACAAACCAAGCTATCGCTATATTTTTTACCAATAATTTTAAGACTTGCCATTTTGAATGATGGAAATGCAAAGCGGGATAAGAAATAGGCGATGGTGACATGACATATATAAGTTACTCTGTAAAAAAAATGAAATAACGGATGCAATAACAATAAAAATAATATATGTTCTATATCACTCTCTACTTCATTGTAATTAATTGACTGTTGATTAAAAAAGGAATCAATAAATCAATGCAAACAATACCGATTGTAGTGCGTAGTGCGTAGATTTAAATGCGTTGAGGCGCGCAAACGATCACGAAAACAGTATATTTGACATTTAAAAAAATACCACGTACTCTTTAATCATTATGGCGTAGATACACAATTAAATTCTAGTAAAAACATTTTAGTTTCATTTAGTAATCTCCTGATTTGAAATAATGTATTAAAAATATTTCGTTAATTCTGTTGTTTTCATCTCGTTACGATTTTCCGATAAAACGGTATCGTGGTTTGTAACCCCATTACTTTAAATCATAGCCCTCTTATAACAAGTGGTAAAAACAAAAGAAGTTTGACTAACGTTCAGTTTTACCTTCATTGCATGATGTTTGTTACCTGCGTGGTAAATACATCCTCGCACGCGAATGGATTCAACAGTATATTTACGTTGGTTTGCTATTCAACTTGGACTTGGTAATTACACGATGATTGTATTCTAGGAAAACATCGCATGTTATCAAAAATGCTGGAATTCCGAACTTCCCGCGTGTTTGACGTCATTATTACTTTAGTCACTTTCAGTGCAGTTTAATGCTACTCATTTTGAACGAAGAGTTTTTCAAATCATTGCATAGCATAGCATACGTTACACCTGAATAACAAGATTAGTTACTTAGATTGTCATTTCGAAATTCATCAGTTCAGAAACGAACACAAAACACCAAACAAATCTGTATTTACACAATATTGTTTTGCAAATGCAGCGTTCTTTAATAGTATTCGTACTAACCTACAAAATAAACACATCCATATAGGATATCTGATAATACTTTTTGTCACAGCAGCTCAATTGGTGGTGGTAATTGTCCTCAGCTGTCCGTCCTACTGGCGTTGCGGTCCATTGTGTTTCGCAACAATCAAATGCCTCGCCATCTGTGTAAACCAAATTTGCGACGATTGTTCGCATTCTCTTGTACGTCAAACGCACCATATAAAGGACACCAAACTTGCTTAAGTATATTTGTAAATCGTATACGTTGACAGCAGTGTTTGTACATACCATTTTTATAATTTACCATTTTAAAATAAATATACTTAAATGACAATGGTTGGGATAAACAACCATCGACCTTGTAGTCTGAAGAACTTTTAAAGAACGACTTAAAAAGAGGTGGTTAATATTAAAAAAAATCTTCTAGTAAGAAACACAGCGTTTATGACCACGATGTCATATGCTGCGTGAATTTGGTCTTCCCGTCCAATATTCAACTCACTACTATGAGAAAGTTTGACTTTCCGATTATCGAATACAGATTGCCTTGATTATTACTTAATACGTTGACATTAAAGAACGTGACGTCACATATTCATCAAATATTTCAAATACACTTGCTAGTCTTATAACTGTTGGACATTGA